CCTTGGTTTTGTGGAGCACAAAGGCCAAGGCCTGAGCCCCAGGCCCTGGCCCAGCAGATCCTGTCCCTCCCAGCTGGCTCAGGGCTGTTTGGGGGGCAGTGGGATGGGAGGGGGAGGAACAACAAAGGCCCAAAACTGGGCAACCCCTGCCAGGCTGCTGAGGGAGAGGCGAGGCAGAAACCAAGTGCAGAACCTGCCAGGCAAGTTGCTTGTGGTGGCCTGAGTGGCAGAGGCAGTTGCCAGAGGCAAGGGGACAAAGGCCTGTGTGCCTTTGGGCCTTGCAGCCCTGCCAGAGCCCTTGGCCATCTCTCCTGCAGGCTGTCCTGCCCTGGCCCTGCTGCTGCTCTGGCCTTGCAGGCTGCACACACCCCTCCTGCTTTCCCACTCCCCTCCCAGCAGCATTTCTAGACCCTCCCTGATGTCTCTGCACCAGCTCTGGCTGTTCCCTGGAACATAAAGCCATGGGCTGATCCTGACTCCCTCTGGGTGACCTCTTGCAGCACAAGAGTTCCCGTTGAGTGACATTTCTTTTTCCTTACCTTCAGTCTGAACCTTCCATGCTATTCTTTTTGGAGATTTCTTTCTATTTCCAATATGGAGAAAAGCTCCATCCTGTCAGATCTCCTCTAGACCCTCTCCAGTTCTTCCTCATTCCTCCAGAATGGAGAACCTCACAGACAGACAGACCAGTCCAGATGTGGTGACCCCAGGGCTGAGTCCAGGGGGGTGACAACTCCCTTGTCTGGGTGCCCACACTCCCCCCAAGGCAGCCCCATGTGCAGTTGGCCTTAAATCAAGGGGCCATTCTGATTCTTTGGAACGTCACGGAATCAAGTGGCACCGTGACACTGCAGGGCCTCACGGAACCAAAGGAATGCAGGGATACTGTGGAATCTCATGGAACCAAGGGACCATTGTGACATGTGGGATCTCTTTGGAACAAACGGAACCCTGAGACATGTGAGAACCTCATGAAACCAAGGGGCCACTGTGCCTCCCCAGAACTCCATGGAATCAAGCAGAGCCGCTGCCTCCCCCCCGCCACCGCAGGGACCGGAGTCGCCGGCTCTGCCCCGCTTGGACACCTCTGGAGTCAGCGTGTTCTTGGGCAGCACAGCTTATCTCAGACCAGAGAGTTTCTCATATTTTGCTTGTCTCCTCTTTCCCATGGTTTTGGTTTATTTCTTTGTTCCCCTGGATGCAAAGTGGGAAGGGAAGCAGGTTTTGATCACCATTTTTATCTGTTTACAAGAGGGCATTCAGAATGGGGGGAGAGAGGAGGCAATTTCTCTCTCTACTGTTGATTTGAACTGTTCTGTTGGTATTGTTGTTTTTGCTGATATATTTCTTGTCAGTAAACTTATTTTTTCACTTATACTATCCTTATATTTTGTCTCCTTCTACTGCTAGGGAATAAAAGGGGAGTGAGTTCATTTTATTGGAGTTCCTGCCCCAATATTTGTCTTGAAATCAAGATAGGTTGCTCAAGGGCTTCCTGAAAGTTGGAGTCATCCACAAAGCACTTGAAAATGCATTTTATCCCATTATATGGAAATATCTTCTTTGTTGGTGGTCAAGGGCTGATCAGTCTTCATTCAGCCAACTTCCCACCCACCACATCTTCCACTTCTTCAGTCCAGCTCTCACCAGTCTGGCCATAAGGAGACCACAGGAGACCATGTCAAGGGCCTTGATAAAGTCTGGGCACACAACATCCCCTTCTATTCCCTCCCACAGGGGTTCTGCAATCCCTGCCTTGTCCTTCCAGTGCCTGGGAATGGCTGCAGGAGGACTTGCCATATCCTATTCTGTGGCAGTTTGAGCCACATTAGAAATCCAAAATCCAATTTCCAGGCTTCCCCACCCCTTCCCACAATTTATCCCAATACCGGAGAGAAACTTTCAGGCTAGCGGCTTCTACAGGGGAAGGGGGAAGTATATACATTTATTTACACAAATAAATATACTGTACAAACTAAAAGCAGCTATATATATATATATATAAATATATTACATTTCTATCAGTCCTTTAAGCCCCTCCCTTTAACTTTAGTCCAGGAAGAGCCTTTCAAGGCTGCTGGGTAACACAGTCTCTCTCTCGTGAGAGTGTTCTGGGCCCGAACGCTCTCCCCTCACCAAGCTCCAGCTCTTTGTTGCAGTTTTTTTCTCCTCACGAAGTCCAAGAAGGTAACTTTGAGTCTTTTTTCCTCCGTCCTGTGTCATTTTTGCTGTGTGATCTTTCTTTCTCAGTCTCATACCTCGGCTCATAGGCTGCTGCAGTGTAGTTCAGCTTATCAAGTGTCTTCCAAGTCAGTTTTCGGCTGCCCCCAGTTAGCTTCAGCAGGGCAACTCCCGAGCCTCTCTTGGCCTGTATCCAATTTTGCCTGGGATTCCTTTCCTGAGCACCAATCTGAGTTGTTATCAGCCTGTCTACTTGGCTCTGCTTAAAAGCTGAGCCTTAAAATCCACCCCCCACCAGCCTAAATGCAGTGTGTGTGGGGAAAACAGCCCCCTAGTCTTGGCCACAGGCAGCTTGGTCCAGTTATACAAGTGTCCCACAGCTGCACAAGGGGGGAAAGAAGGCCTAGCCTCCTCCTCTTACCTCCAAATGCTGCCTCCAACTCCGGCCCAGGCAGAGTTGGGGGGCCACAGGGCTCCCCTCTTCCCCCTGGAGGGGAGAGAGGGAGCCCAGCCACCCCCTGGCCTTCTCCACCTACATGCAGCAGACACCAACAGCAAAGCAACCAAGACAGAACTGCCAACAGCTTCCGGTGCTGTGATATATGATTTTTAACAGAAGTGAACAACATGGACAGTGATTGGCTCTCCAGGGAACACTGTCCTGGCACCCAATCACCTCTGAGCACCCCCAGCCTCTCAGGGGGGGCCAATCTAAACCTATGACACTGCTTATCTGATGCCTTTCAACTATTATAAGCAAAAAATACTTATTTGATCTACTTCCTCGAAAGGTTCAAATAAGCATTTCTTTCATTCCTACTTACACTTTCACAGAGGTGCAAGCAACCTCCCAGTAGTCAAGGGTCAGTTCTTTAAAAACTATTCTGTAAAATGAATAATCACATCACTTATTCATAAATAATCTATATTTTTATACCATAATTTTTCTATCTTAACTTTGCTCTGTAACATACAGAAAGAGCAGCATAACATTTGGATTGACACAGCTGTGAGAACAGACTTTTTAGCTACTCTAAGCAAAGTAGGTTTCAAGTATTGTTAAATATTATCATAGACAAGTTACCTTCTCTATTTGATGAATAGCACCATGGGTTTGAAACTAATTGCAAAAGTTGGCTGATGAGGTGGCCCTTATCTTTTCTCAGCAGTGCAAGCACAAGTATTTTTCTGCTGGCTCAAAAATTTTAAATGCCCAAAGTGCTATGAACTAAGTTGAAATCTGAATAAAATATGAACTTCAAAATATTCACAACAGCTAATGCAGCTACACGCACACACACAAAAAAGCTATCTCTTTTCTTATCATTAAGCATGTGTTTTGAAAAAAAAAAAGATTAAATAAATTGTTCCCCACAGATTCTGCCAGTTGTTTTGCTTCCCATCAGCATCTTTGAAAACAGTTTGTTAAGACAATAGTTCTTCTTTATTATGGAACTATGGGGATGATGTCCTTCTACCTGCCTCAGTCTAAAGAGAAATTTGTGGGAAATGTTAAAGCTTAAGGACTATTGGAAAAGGACAGTGTGCCTTAGGAAAAAACAGGGGGAAAAAGTATGGAAAAAATGATCAGCCTTTCCAGAGAATTCATGGATACCCACAAGGGCTTTGCTAATCACACGGGTTAATTACCCTGAAATGCACCAGGCTCGGTCAATAAAGGAGCACAACCATAAAGACATTAAAATGAGCTCCCAGCACTAACAGAGGGACAAGCCCCAGCAAAGGAAGAGTTGCCAGAGGGGCATTTCAGCACAAACCCTTTATCCTTTCTGCAGGATTTACAAACTTGCCAGCAGTCTGTCAGAACTAAAAGAGCAAAGCCTTACGAGTGGACACAGGGAAGGAAGAAGGGACCAGGGCCTGCCTGTGCCCAAGGGGAGAGCCCTGGGAGAGCCCAGGCAGGGTCTGGGTGCTCCCCCACGCTTGGGGGCTGCTGCACCCCCCAGAGCCGTGTGCCACCGCACACACCGGCTACACGGACAGAGCCCAGAGCTTAGGGCTGCAATATCAACTTGGCCTTTATTTCTTAGGAACAACTGCAAACAGCTGTCTGATAAGACAAATGCATGAGGTTAAAGACCTTCAAAGCTCGGAGAAACCGTGGAGCAGAATCGCGTCTGCTTCCCACTCCACAAAGAGAAGCGTCCTTCAGTCCACCCCTTTCCTCCCTTTACAAATGAAAGACACTTCTAAAAAACTCTTCAACAATTAGAAGCTATGCCAAAATATTTTAAAGAGCGAAGCTGACACAAGCTTGAGGTTCAGCACAGAATCCCCCCGCACACACACAAACACACGGGCATGTGAATCTACACACACACTCCTGTTCATCCCTACACAGACATAACCCAGACAGACTCGCAGGGGAACTCCACACACCATTCCCACATCACAACATGAGAACAGTTAGAAAAACATAAAATATGTACACCAACCATCACTGCAGTGCAGCATTCACAGGATGTGACACCTGTGTCCACTTTTGAAATGTTACAGCCATTCTACATAACCTTTATTTCCTGTCAGCTGAGTATTCTATCAGCTGCATTCTAAGATGAAACTCCAGGCACATGAACAGCTGAATCTGTTCCACATTTAAAGGCTGTTGCACATTTTTAAATGGAGAAAGTAGGGAAACAGCTAAGTGTTCAAATGAATGAAACAGAGTGAGCAAAAGTACCTAGTGTACAACAGCTTTCTGGAGTTACAGATCTGCTCAATTTTTTATGTTTGGCATTCAGAGACCATGTTTACATTTATTAAACTACTCCCACTCTCCCCTCCCCTCTTTTTTTTTGGAGTGTTTCAATTGCCTTTCCTTCTTCCAACAGCTGTGACAACTGTTAAAACAATCAGTAAAATTAAGTCCACTCTATAATCCTTTAGTCAATGTTACATTTTAATCAGAGGTGGAGGGAGATTTCCTGTTATGAACGACCTGATTCATTAAAAAATAATAAACTGACACATATGTCAAAATGAGTAGATACATTTATTGCATCTGTTAGCTCATTGACTATTAGTAGTTATTAGTGCTATTGTTATTGTTGAAAGAGCAAAAATTCAAGATTGCAGCTGGCTTTAAGTTACTGCATTCTTTAACATGTTCTGCCTTAAAATCAAAGCATACCTAGTGATGGTCAGACAGATGTCTCTGCACTCTCAAAATGTTCAGACAATTTTTAGCTCAAATCCCCTCCACCCTCACCCATAACACAAGAACTGCAGAAACTACACCTATTTCCTATGTCCTTATGCTCACACGTGCATGTGCCTGTCACAATATATAGTCAAATCACAATTCCTATGGATATTATTAATGTGTCAAACTCTGGGGTTTATTAATTGAGACAGGGAAGCAGATATGTTTCTGAATGTTAGTTCTTTCTCTGTGTCCATTCAATCCCACATGCCTCAAGCCCTGCACTCCCACACTATATTGGCACTGGAAGGGCTTCCCTTACCGGTGGGTCCGTTGGTGTGAGGTCAAGGTAGAGCTCTGGGTGAAGCTCTTCCCACACTCCCCACACTTGTAGGGCCTCTCCCCGGTGTGGATGCGCCGGTGCCTGATGAGTGTGGAGTTATGGTTGAAGCCCTTCCCGCAGTCGGTGCAGCGGAAGGGCCTCTCATCCGTGTGTGTCCGCTCATGCGTGTAGAGATGTGAGCTGGTCATAAACCTCTTCCCACATTCCAAGCATTTGTAGGGCCGTTCTCCGGTGTGAATGCGCTGGTGGGAGCGGAGGGTGGAGCTCTGCCTGAAGCTCTTCCCACAATCACCACACTTGTAGGGCTGTTCCCCAGTGTGGATGTGCTGGTGGGTGCGGAGATTGGAGCTGTCACTGAAGCTCTTCCCACATTCCCCACACGTGTAGGGCCGTTCCCCAGTGTGGATGCGCTGGTGGCTGAGGAGATCAGAGCTGTCTCTGAAGCTCTTCCCACATTCCCTACACACGTAGGGCCGTTTCCCTGTGTGGATCTGCTGGTGTCGGATCAGGTGGGAGCTGTTCATGAAACTCTTCCCACATTCCAAGCACCTGAAAGGCTTCTTTCTAGTGGGAGGTTGCCTTGAGACAATGACATTGGACTTCCTGCTCAAGCTCTGGCCACCTTCCCGGCACAGGCTGGCTCTTTCCTCCTCAGAGCACCCTGGGATGGCTTTGGAGCCCCTCCTGTGGGGGGATCTCTGGGCCTTTTCCTCCCCGCTGCCTTCCTGCGCCGAGGAGCCCTTCAAAACGGCCTCTCCCACCAGGGTCTCAAGGGGGGATTTGTCCTCCGGGCTCTCCGTCCTCAGCTCGGGGCCTGGGGCAGGAAGCAAGAAGGACAGGGAGGGGATTTGCCCCTGGCCCACAGGGAAGGCCAAGGACATCCCCCCAACTCCGGCCCCGGCAGGACGGCGGCGGCAGCGGGGTTGTCCTGCAGCCGGGGCCATGCTCGGCTGACAGAGCCAGCACAACACCCGCCCAAAGGGCCACTGACTTCCTCCTCACCTGCCTGGGGGGCCCAAGGCATCTTCCTCTTCCTTGCAGCCTCCTCCTCCATCTGCCCAAGCTTTGGGAAGGACAAATCCTGATGGGGGAAAACAAGGGCTGAGCGCGTTGGTTTGGGGGTTCCTCCTGCCCAAGTCCACCTTTAGAACTCACTTGGCATCCTATGTCCATAAAAACCTCCAAAACACCAAGATTCAGCCCAGAAAAACCCAAACCACCGAGATTTAAGCAGATTCAGCCCGAAAAAAGGTGTTTAATTGGGAGGATGATGGAAGTGAGGTCATTTCATGAGCACTTGATTGAGTTGCTATATTCTAATCAAAAGTTGTATTAATGTAGTGTCATTTAAAACTCTCCAGGACTGTTACTCGAGGTTATCTGGCCCCCTGCCAGTCCGGAGTTGTTTCTCCAAACCACCAAACCACGTGTGCCAAACACCCTGGTTGGTCAGTGCCAGCTGGGGGAGTGGGCACTCGGTGAGGGGATGAGAAAACTGCACCCTGGGCTGGGCTGAAAGAGGCTTCAGCACCACTTCTGATGGCCCAGGGGCAGCATCTGGCTTCTCCCAAACAGAGAAATGGCACTTGTTCCTCTGCAGGGAGTCAAGGGCAGCAGGGTGACTCCTGTTGCATGGATGGAATGGCAGAGGATCCCTTGGGTGCCCAGGCTGGATCAGCACTCAGGGATACAAACTGCCCTCAGGATCAGGATGCAGTTGCCAGCACAGATTTCCTTGCAAAGTCTGCAGTGAGTCAAGCTCTGGAGAGTAGGTTGTGCCCCATGGATGGGATTGCAAAGGCTCCCTCAGGTCCCCAGCATCAATCAGCAACCAGGAACAGACACAAAAGGCCCCCCCGAAAATTTCAGGGGGAGTGTCTTGTAGGGAGGGGACAGTGTCACCCCACCAGGGCAGGGCTGGCAAGTGGGAGGCTGCTCCAGGGGTCTGCAAGAGGCCTCGTGCTCTGCTCGGCCCCAGCACTGGCTGGTCCCAACACCCCCGGCTGCCCCCGGCCCTGGGCAGCTCTGCTGCCACAGGCTGTGCCCTCACCGGGGCCCTGCAATGGCCCTGCCTGTCCCTCACCCGTGGCCCTGCCCGTGGCCCTGTCCCTTGGCTCTCTCTCTGCCAGCTCAGTGTGGGGCACACGGGATGGGGGTCCCTCCCAAGCCCCCCGGGCAGCCGGCGTTGGCTGGGGGGATGTGAGGGCTGGGCCTGCTCAGCACAGCCCCGGCCTCGTGCCCAGCGCCTCTTTCCTGACCCACACAAGACCCTCCCGGCCCCCCCAGGGCTCCCCTGCTGCTGCCACTGCTCCTGGCCCTGCCTTTGCTGCTCCCTTGGCTGGGGCAGCGGCTGCAGGGGGGGATGGCAGCAGCTTCAGCTCCACAGCACTTCCTGGGGGGAGCTCAGCCCGGGGGGGACGGGCAGGGACCTGATGGGGATGGACAGGGGCCCAGCAGGGACAGACAGGGCCTGCAGGGGAAGGCACACAGACAACCTGGCCCCCCACACTGCCAGGGCTCTCTCTGCTCCTCCTTGCAGGCTCCGTGGCCAGGCACAGTTTGTGTTCCTGGGTGCCACCATCTCAGCACTTGCAGCCGCTCAAATCAGCGCCCGCAGCTCTGCAGCAAAGCCCCAGCTCACCTGGCACACAGGGGATGGACACAGCACCTTCTTGGGGATGGGCATTCACAGCTTCTGTCTCTTCCCCACCACGGGGCTCTCCTTCCTCAGCAGCACCTCTGCCTTGCACTTATTCTCAGCCTCACCTCAGGGACAGCTCTGGCCTCACCTCCGCGCCACTTCTCAGCCTCACCTCAGGGCCTGGGCTCAAGGACAGGAACCTGCAGGGAGGGGACATCATGTGCAAGCTCAGGGCTGCCTGCTTGCACTGGAGCTGTAGCCTTCTTTCTCCTTCTACAACCATCCCAGAACTCAGCCTGCTTTTCTAACATCACACATTTACACACTAACCTTGGAGATAGATATGGACAGACACCTCTATCACCCTGGGCATAGAGCCTCAAGCATGTGCTGCCATAGGAATGGGAATCAGAGAATCACAGAATCAGCCACGTTGGAAAAGACCTCCAAGATCATCAAGTCCAACCCTTGATCCAACCCCGCCGTGCTTCCCAGACCATGGCACTGATGCCACATCCACTCTCACCTTCAACACCTCCAGGGACACTGACTCCACCCCCTCCCTGCCCAGCCCATTCCAAGGCCTGATGATTCTCTGGGGAAAAAATTGCTTCCCAATATCCAACCGAAACCTCCCCTGGCACAGCTCAAGACCCAGCCCTCTTGTCCTACTGCTGCTTCCTGGCACAACAGCCCCACCCCCACCTGGCTACAACCTCCTGGCAGGGACTTGCAGAGAGTGAATGATTCATATTGGGGACCTGAGGGAGCCTCTGGAATCCCATCCATGGGGCACAATCTCCTCTCCAGAGCTTGACTCACTGTAGACTTGGCAGGGAAATCTCTGCTCCCAGTTGCATCCTGAGCCCAAGGTCAGTTTGTACCCACAAGTGCTGATCCAATGGGCGCCCTGCGATTGGAGCCTGGGCTCTAATGAACCTCTCCTGTGCTGCCAAACAACAGGAGCTGTATGGCCAAGGGACAAACTCTGTGATCTCTGTCAGTGTCCATGGTCCCTGTCAGTGTCCTTCAGGGAAATTGGGAGGAGGAAATGAAGAAACCAGTTTGGAACTAAACTGGTGTTAAAATGGGAAAAACCTCCTTCCATGGAAATAAAACTCAGACAGTTTTTCCTGGGCTGAACGAGCTCATTCAGAGATGAAGGACTGGGACTTCTGTGGACACTTGTGCTGGTTTCTTTGGACACTTGTGTTCATTCAGAGAGTCCCTGGAAACACTCTGCTGTTCACTCCCAGTGCCACCAGAGCCTGGGTCCTGTCTGCAGCAGCAGATTGCAGTGGGATGGGAGAAATGCTTTTCTGAGCCTCTGGGCTGGACACAGGCACAGCCTGACCCTGAACCCAAGGGAAACAAACACAAATTCCAGGCTTTAGGTGGAGCAAGGCTGGGGGGGTTTCCTGAGGGCAGCACTACACCAGACTTTTGTGTGTGTGTGTGAGACAGGCAGAAGCACAAATGCCTGCACAGCCCAGAGCAGTCAGTGTGGGGCTGTGCTTG